GGCAACAATTAACAGACATTATGATGATACAGGAATGGTACTTGAATGTCGTAATGGTGATTCTGTATGGTAAGTAAGATAGCGCCACCTAGTGACAACAATTAATAAAAATTATGATGATACAGGAATGGAACTTGAAAGTCTTAATGGTTCTGTATGGTAAGTCAGATAGCGCCACCTAGTGGCAACAATTGACAGACATTATGATGATACAGGAATGGTACTTGAAAGTCATAATGGTGATTCTGTATGGTAAGTCAGATAGCGCCACCTAGTGATAACAATTAATAAAAATTATGATACAGGAATGGTACTTGAAAGTCATAATGGTGATTCTGTATGGTAAATCAGATAGCGCCACCTAGTGACAACAATTAATAAAAATTATGATGATACAGGAATGGTACTTGAAAGTCATAATGGTGATTCTGTATGGTAAGTAAGATAGCGCCACCTAGTGGCATCAATTAATAAACATTATGATGATACAGGAATGGTACTTGAAAGTCGTAATGGTGATTCTGTATGGTAAGTCAGATAGCGCCACCTAGTGACAACAATTAATAAACATCATGATGATACAGGAATGGTACTTGAAAGTCTTAATGGTGATTCTGTATGGTGATAATTTAAGTTATCAGTCAGTAATTAATTGTTGAATTCTTAATTAGCTATTTATTTCTGTTATTTATCTTAGGAATTTCCATGTCTGGAATGACTGTTGGATGGCAAGACCTGATTTGCCACCTGGATATGGTGGATGGCAAGCATTGGATGCTACCCCACAAGAGAGGAGTGAAGGTATAGTTGCCATGGTAATATTGTAGTGGAATTATTTATGATATTGTCTGTTACTAGATAATGTTGGCACTCATCAGATGCATGCTCTTATGTACGTATCTCAATTTATTCAAATATATATATGTAAATTTAACACAATATAATTTTTTGTTCCGCCCAATTTAATGCACAATAATAGGAGTGTATTGGACAGGCCCTGCACCATTGGCAGCTGTAAAACAAGGACATGTATACTATGGTTATGACACTGGATTCGTATTTGCTGAAGTCAACGCTGACAGGATTGACTGGGAATGCACTACGTTTAAAGGGTTTGTTACCAAGATGAAAGCCAGGAATGTTCAAAAGTCAGCCGTGGGTAAATTTATCAGTACCAAAGCTGTAATTGGAAATGATAGAGAAGATATCACACATTTATATAAATTTAGTGAAGGTGAGTGACCTATCTGTACCCATGGATGTATAAGTCATGTACTGTAAAACCATTTATTTTCACTGGGTTTTTATTCAACTAATAATTTCTATTGTTAATTTACATGATCACATGGATTTATTTTAGCGAATTTTACTAATCAGTGAAAATAGCGAAATTAAAACCCAGTTAATTAATGTCTATACAGTTTGTGGAAAGAATGCATCTCAACAATGCCTTTATATTTTTATACAATCAATCCTGGGTATATTAGACTTTTTTAAACTGCGCTTTAGAGACAGGTGATCTTCATATGGAGGTTAGATTATTTTTAGATGGGATCAAATTGTACATTTATGAGATGGTACTGTTGCATCAAAAACATATTTATTTGAGTTGATCAAAATCAAATTATTTTGACTTTAGGAAATTAAAAAAAAAAAACGTTTTATAAACAAAATGCTAATTATTATTTTGGTCTCTACATTGCTACATATTATATTATTCCTTGGAACTGCTTAAAAGTGGTCACTATATAGACTGGTGGTCATTATATAAATGTGTGAACGTGATTTTTCCTCTCTAAAATCAGTAGTTTGATTTAATAAAGAGCTTCAATGCTAGATTGAGACATAATTGGTGGGTCCTGAGTTGAAATTCTATCTTGAAACATCAAAAAGTGACTTTTCATCTCGATGAGTGTTCCACAGGCAAGAACTCCTCATTGCTATCTATTGACTGAATGGCGCGGCTCTTAACAAAACTGTGGTCATGATCAGCAGATACTGCATGGGCATATATGATCTTGTATTAATTTACCATTATCATTGCAACATTTCACCTAGCATGAAAAATATTGTGTTTTTTTTAAAAAAACATAAACGAAAATTTACTGTGAATAATGAGTATCGTATTTTTTTTTTCAGATTCGGAGGAGAACCGAATGGCTGTTGCATGCGCCATTGAACATGGAAGTCGTCCAAATACATATGATACTGATGATGGCCCAGATGATGTACAATTTGAGATTGAAACTGATGACATGGTAACTGTGGGAGATGATTATGACGTCAGAATTAAAGTGGTAAATAAAAGTAATGAGAAGAGAACGGTTGATGTGTACATCGCTAGTCATGTGTGCCACTACACCGGCATTCCCGTCAAAAACAGTAAATGCAAAGATCAGCATATTGACTTGGTTTTAGAACCAAACTCGTGTAAGTTATTGCAAGGTTGTTGTAATGTCAAACATTTATATACCCACCATTCAGTCTGTCACCTAATTAATTTCACAGCTTTGGCCAAATTTGTTGTAAGTTTGTACAGGCAAATCTGTTCATAGTGTTTGGGTTGGTGATCATATCCTACATGGCCAAGTAATACCATATTTGGACATGTACCATTAATATTTATATATACAACCAAGGACAGAATAGCGTTTACATTCTATGTTTACACTGTGAGACTGTTTTGAGACTATTTTTTTTTCTAAAGGTATTTACTACCAAATCTTGTCTTGATGGCAGTTCTTTCTAATTTCACACACTTCAAAATATTGACAAATGACAGACAAAATGTAAATGCATCACCTGGCTACACACATGTTTAAAGGGCGGTAGTCATTGCACCACGCATGCGTGAGATATATGGGTCTCATATAAACAAAGATGGCGACTTTGACTGTTGCGCAAATCAACTAGTGCGAACTGAGACGTTACCAAGCTTCAATTAGATTAGTTGATTGGAAGGTATCGAGCGAGGCATTGGCGGTAATAAGTGCATCCAGGTCAAACCTCATAATAGTGATTTCCATTAGAATTGTGCACTGGATTGTGGGAAAATGAATGGCACACATGCGAGCGTCATGACCACTGCTCTTTACCAAGTGTTTCTACAGTCATCATGTGTAAAATGATATAGGTATACCTCAGATGTATGAGTCAATTTTTCTACAATTTGTCTTCCGGGTCATACATCTGATTCGCCAAGGTGATGTTATTTTTGTTATTTGGTTTGTTTTCTGCAGCATCTGAAGCTGTTAAAAGAGTAGTATGTTCTGACTACCTTGGTAAACTAGCTGACCAATCAGCAATGAAAATATATGCAATGGGTAAAGTGAGAGAAACTAAACAGATGTGGGCGGATCAAGATGATTTCCGTCTGCGTACACCCGATCTTACATTAGAGGTAGGTCAACAACTAATCAAATAAACAGTAGAATTTTCATGAATTTACGATGTCGGCTATAGCAAAGCATCTTGGCACAGTTTCACTGAAAAGATAAGTTTTTTATTGCTCATGAATATTAATTTATACAAATGAAACGATTTTTTCAGCCAATCATGTTATGCCACTCCCCCCCCCCCCTACTATTCATCAACATTTCGCACAAATTTATTTTCATGTTAAATATAACAGGTGGGAAATGTGTAAATCTAACTTATACTGTCTTTTATATATGCACAATAAAAATGTTTATAAAGATTTGGTGCTAGTATATATTTCATTTTCAGTGATATTTCAGGATAGTAGAAAAAATATCTAAACACAGCTCACATTAAGAACTGTGCAACATTTACTCCACATAAACAGTACCAGAAATTTTAATATCTGTGAAGTTGTCTAATTATGCTTTGTATTTTGACTGTATTTGTTTTCAGACTGAAGGTCCATTACAAGTTGGTAAGGAATTCACACTGAAAATTTATCTGAAAAATCCTATTCCCTCAACGTTATCACAGTGTACAGTTAGTATTGAAGGACCAGGTCTGCAAAAACCTAAAAAAGTCAGACACAAGTAAGTTTGTTTGTATTTTAGTATTCTAATCTGGAATTCTGAATTGTATAAATCAAGGTTTTTTCTCTGTTTCTGTGTATTTGTCATTGGGCTTACTCATTCCTTGATGGTAATTAGTTAACTCGTCTTGTTACTCAATAGTGATTGGTTAACTTGTCTTGTTACTCAATAGTGATTGCGTAACTCGTCTTGTTACTAAATAGTGATTGGTTAACTCATCTTGTTACTCAACAGTGATTAGTTAACTTGTCTTGTTACTCAGTAGTGATTGGTTAACTTGTCTTGTTACTCAATAGTGATTGGTTAACTCATCTTGTTACTCAATAGTGATTGGTTAACTTGTCTTGTTACTCAGTAGTGATTGGTTAACTTGTCTTGTTACTCAATAGTGATTGGTTAACTCGTCTTGTTACTCAGTAGTGATTGGTTAACACATGCTGTTACTCAGTAGTGATTGGTTAACACATGCTGTTACTCAAGTGATTTGTTAACACGTGTTGTTACTCAATAGTGATTGGTTAACTCGTCTTGTTACTCAGTAGTGATTGGTTAACACATGCTGTTACTCTGTAGTGATTGGTTAACACATGCTGTTACTCAGTAGTGATTGGTTAACACATGCTGTTACTCTGTAGTGATTGGTTAACACATGCTGTTACTCAGTAGTGATTGGTTAACACATGCTGTTACTCTGTAGTGATTGGTTAACACATGCTGTTACTCAGTAGTGATTGGTTAACACATGCTGTTACTCAATAGTGATTTGTTAACTTTTCATTACTTGATTTTGATTGGTTACACTTCTTATTACTTGATGGTGGTTGGATAACCCTTTTCATTTTTTGATCATGTATGGATACTTTCTTATTAAACTTGTTGGTAATCAGTTAAACCTGCCAGCACATAAGTCACAATTTTACATGTATTTTTAATATTCTCATATTTTATTCTAGCAATATTATTCCACATGGTGATATGAAGATGGAAGTAAAATTGACACCACGTAAAGCTGGAAACCGAGTAATTATGGCTTCATTCGATTCAAAGCAACTTGATAATATCACTGGCTCACTGGACTTGAAAATTGCACCTCGTGCTTAAGAAGCTACAACCCCTTTTTTACATTCCGCTTGTGCCAAAGGTTGAAAGTCTATATTATAGATCTGTTATTAAAAATATCTTTAATCAAAAAAGGGAATTTAGGATAGATAGTTCATTATTTTTTGAAAGGAATGTTGCAATCATGGTGTCACATGACAATCAACTGATGTAAGAATGTCTCACAAAGAGAAGCATTTTGCAGCTGACAATCAGCTTATTGTAAATCTTCATTTCTATATTACCGGTATAACATAGAGTGCTTATTTCTTGAGCTTTGCAATGTGCGTATAACAGTTTTTCATGTTTTGGGGAATATTTGTAGGCTACGTCACCAGTTTGTAAAATATTGTTATTGGGCCGTGGAGCTGTTGCTTCTTTTATAAAATGAAATGAACTAAACTAAAAGAGTACATTCTATTATCATGCACATTAATTGGCAGTACACTTCCATTCAATCTCTTAAAAATCTATTTATAATCAACTTTTGTTTGAGATTAGATCCAGTTTACAAGATATCTTTGCGTGCAATACACAATTTGTTTTTTACATTCAGTACAGGTAGTTCAATTTAATACATCAACAAAAACTATTTACTTAAAAAATGTGACAATGTCTTATTAATCCTATATTATTTGATTTGTAAACTACTGTAAATTTCAAATTTTATTTTTATAACTGAATATTTTGTAATTGATCAGAATAGTTTTAAAATTTATAGTTTATATCTGTATATACCGGTAGATGTGGATTAAGGAAATTTTTATAGACTTTTGTAATGTTGTATAGAATGCATATAATCAATCATACCTGGCTAAAATCTATATTGTTTAATACTTTTGTAATTTTTATATTCTTTTTTATTTCATTGAAATAAAAAACTTTTTATGAACTATCAGAGTGTGCCTGGATTCCCATGAATGTCTTGCATGCCTTCAAAACATATACTCATAGATCTGCGCTTGTCGGAAATATGAGGAATTTTAAATTAGAAATCTGTTGCTATTGTTAACAATTTACAATCTTTTTATTGCGTAATGTTTTCCTTGGGCCATAGTAGTTGATTTCAGTTTTAAGAAGGATTTGAATTGATGATTATATGTCATCTTGACCATACTTTCTTTATTGTTAGGTTCTTAGAATACCAAAAAATGAAGAAGAAAAAAATTGGGTCACCGAATAATTTTTTGGAAAAAAAAATCATATATTATTGATATGAATTAAATATTGTAAAAAAAATTCCAGGGTGTTATTGTATTCCAATATATACAATGGGTGGTTATCTCCCATAATGCATTTCGCAAAATGCTTTAACATGTTTAAAAACAATTATTCTGGTTGGATATTTAACTGGAGATTTTTTTGTGCAGCACACATAGTCTTTGTATTTACTTGTTCTCTGTCTGTCTGTCTGTCTGTCTGTCTGTCTGTCTGTCTGTCTGTTCATTTCCAAAATTAAAAGATTTTAATAAAACTTGGTACATAGATGCTCTATGATAATGTGTGCATATCAGTTATTGAATTTGCATAATAAATACTAGTAGCCAATTTCTGAATTTTTCACTGATATCCCAAGAACTACTCAACAGTCCTTGCTGAAACTTGATACACAGATGCTCTGGATTAATACTCAAACCTGATTAGTCAAGTGAAATTAAATCCAATTTGCATAATAATCCACTTTTATCAGTGCATCTTCATTAATACTTAAACAGCTTTAACTAAAAGATGTGATTACTAGTAGTTTATGGTTTAAATTTGTGCATATTGATTACATAAATTAGTCAATTTTAGCTCTTTTCGCAGTTATCTCAGGTACCGCTCTTCAGATTTCAATGAAACATTTGATAATGTACATACCTAATTAGTCTAGAGTTGAAATTCATGCATATTGATTACCAAATTTACATATATCTATCTTGTGCTTTCGATGTACTCAGGACTTTTTTCTGAATTCTTTGATTTATATTATATTTTTAGATTTATGATGACAAGAAGCTGTGAGAGTTTAAGCCTCAAGTTATGAGAGTTTGAAATTCAATGCAGGTTATTTTTCAGATGTTGAAACAGAAAATAATCACATGATAAAAACAAATGTCTCATATATATGACAACCTCCCACCAGAGGGCGCTAAGTCGTGTTGTTTTTTGTGTCTTGTTTTTTGGGTTTAACCTTGGCGCGACTTACACTCCTTTGATACCTTCCAATCACCTACAGATGCCTAATTAAAGCTTAGTAACGTCTCTGTTTGTATTCGTTGATCTGCGCAACAGCCAAAGTTGCTATCTTTGTTTACATGAGACTCGTATATCTCGCGCATGCGTGACGCGACGACTACCGCCCTTTAAGTCAGATGAGACATCTCGGGTAGAATGATTCTGCAGTCTGAGTTGCCTTTTATTTTTGTACCTATTAAATAGTCTTATTTTATGAGAATTGTCTTCTAAATTACCTTTAACTGCTCTGAAATCATCAATGTACACGCAATCGATAAATAAAAGGTTTTGTATTTATGATCTTCGAACATCAGTAGAACCGTGTTGAGATACGCGTGTCTTGTTTTAAATGACTTGTCATATACTAGGAATTTCCATGGTGATTAACGACGTTTTTGCTTACATACGGGCGCTAATACTTACATTTCAGTCACGTAACATGGCGTGAGCTAAGTGCTCAGTCTGCAGAATGTTAATATCCATCCGAGGGCTCGAGTCTGCGTAGTAGATGTCGAATTATCATCAGTCGGGTGTAGCTATTTTTTTTTTGCCGGCAGCAATACATATTTAAATTGAATACTGACCGGCACCTTGACGATTTCACTCTATTTCGTGTTTATAACATTCAGGTAAGTGGCAGTTGTTTTCGATGAGCGATATATTGTCAAGGCAATAAGGCGATACATGTATGACATATTTGATGGTCATTGTCAGAAGTCCCAGCCGTCTGATCTGATAAGACTGCTAAAATAAACATGTATCAAGACGGCCAGGCACGATACACAGTTAAACTGTATTATTTCCTGTTATTTGTGTATGTAAAGCCAAAGCTTTGAATTTCTAGTATTTACGAACTTACGGGAATTCGGAATAATCGACGGACACCGGCGACATGCCATACATTCTGCAATGCCCCCAGTACTGGGGGTAATTTGTAGTGTTTTTCATCTATTCTCATTCCTTTTTTATTTTGCATTTCAAACCTAACCCCTCTCTCCAACATCAATAATGGTATGCTCCTTGGAATCGTCTCACTTGTCACTAGATACGTCGCGATTTACGCCGTGAGCTCGTCATTAGGTAACCAATATTCCTCCCTCTAGTCAGGGTCGATTATGAACACATTCGTTTGAACCGTGATGTATATTTGTAAAACTAAAGACTGAATTATTGTAGTATTTTCATACACAATAGTTTCCGAATGTTTGAACAAAAATCTGACTAAACGAGATCAACAGGTGTCGTTAACAATGGAACAAACATTGATTGGATAATCTGGTCTTCTGTTCCATTCTGTCATCGGCTTTAACGGCTTGGACAGAGAATAAAAATGGATTGATATGATCCCGTCATGACCGGTGTCTTACATACTAGTAATCAGAAAATCGACATTTTCGCAACATTATCACCGTTTATCTACGAAACGTCGGCACTTTTTTCAATAAAATGGAAAATTGGGCAAATAAATGTAATATTTAGACGAACGGTTAGTATTTTGTGCAGCGAATGTCTGTACAGATATAAATTATAAAACATGCATAATGACATTGTTTGCGTCATAACATTGTATAGCCTATACTCGTCACATCATTTTGATAACTATGTCACGTATACGGGTACATGTGATCGATTACTTAAATAAAACAAGGACGTCTTAGATAGATGCCTGCGTGGGAGGTAACATGCTGAATAATTTAATCAGACGATATCTTGCTGAGACACTTTACCCCAGTTTTCAGATATCGTGCTTCTCTAGTTTACTGTAAATTGTAGATTATTCAAGTCGAATTGTGAATCATTACTATTGTGTTGTACCCATGAGTCGCTTTCAACGCTGGTGTATCACATGCTTAAAGAGTGGTAGTCGTGGCGCCACACCTGCTTAAGATATATGGGTCTCGTATATAAACAACGATGGCGTCTTTGACAGTTGCGCAGATCAGCGAGTACAAACTGAGATGTTACCAAGCTTTACTTAGGTTTTTTAGGTGATTAGAAGGTATCGAAAAACTCGGAGTCACCGGTGGTAAATAATGCAAATCGCTCCCAAACCTCATACTTGCGATTTCCATCAGGAGAGTGCATTGGATTGTATGGAAATCAATATTTATCAACACAAATGTCGCACATGCGCAGTGCGACGACTGCCACCCGTTAACTCAGTATAGCTAAATTATTTATTGCAGAATTGCAGAATGACACAGTGAATATCATTATTGTGATGTTAAGTGTAGAAACGGACATGACGTAACAGTTACGAGTGACATTCGACAAGAATTCGGAAACTGTCCAAACTCCGTGAAAGAAATCCTCTTCTTCTCAATAAATCGACAAACGCTCGACTTTGACCTTGAGTCATGACGGTCACCTATTCACTGAAAGTGTCCAAGGCCAGTCTTACAGGGTTTTCCAGTTTACTCTTCCGATGGAAAGGAAGTATATATAAATTGTTGTACAGAGAAATGGCTGTGTTTATTGCCTTGTACTATATTCTTAGCATCGTATACCGTCATGCATTGCAAGAATCACAGAAACGGGTTTTTGAGAAGGTAAGTATTTTTATAGTATGATGTGTTTTTTTATGCAAAGCATTTTCTATTTCATATGCACCAGTCGCGCCTGAATGTAAACGTACAGAATATAACTTCCACATTAAATTATTTATATTTAAAAGGAGATTTTAAACAGTATACTTGGGTTTATTATTGGAAAGTATGCGGCTTATACAACGGACCGTGACTATTAGCATATTACGCAACACACTACTGTATATTATATACATTTGTATGTCGATTGCATCTTAGAATTTGAGATGTGTTGTTAACAATTGAAAAAGTACTAGAAGTTAGAACATACACTACTCTATTGTGGTCTTGGTTGGGTGAACAATCAAATAAACATAAGTGACGTATATTAAAGCGGGGAAGTCGTCACCTGCGCATACGTAGATGGCCATGCGTGTCAATGTTTACAAACAAGCGTGTGTTCATGAGTGTTTTACGTTTTTACCGTGTGTTATTATCGTCGCTTGGGACTCAATTCTCGCGCGTGCGCATGTGACGACCCTCCCGCTTTAAATTATCAATGAGTAGAATGTTTATTATATCCTATAGTAAAACGATATGCTAGAGACGAGTATGTTTGATATATGCAAATTAACGACAGTTTCACGGACTGAAGAAAGAAAGTAGTTTCAGTTCATATGTTTGTGTGTGTTAGTGTGCGTTCAAAAAGATTCGTATCTGTGTTTGATCTGTAGCTCGCATTATACGCAGAAAAGGGGACGAACATCATTCCCCTGAGTTTCATCCTAGGCTTCTATGTGGCAATAATCGTTGGTCGTTGGTGGAGCCAGTACTTGGCGATACCTTGGATCGACCAGGTGGCTCAGATCACTGCAGCCAACGTACACGGAGCTGACGATAGGAGTCGTATGATAAGAAGGTCTATTGTACGATGGGTCAACGCATCGGCGGTTCTAGTCCTGACATCTGTCTCGCCTCCGATTAAAAGACGATTTCCTACTATGTGGCATTACGAACGAGCAGGTAATCACGTGACAACAACAATAACAACAAAAACATGCACGCCAATTAGGCTGATATTGTTTAAAATAAATAAATAAATAAATAAATAAATAAATAAATAAATAAATAAATAAA